GAGAGGCCCGCGTACCGCAAAAAAAAAAAAAAAAAAAAAATTATCTAAAACTGACCAGAAAGCTATAGGTTTTGCCCTCAATGTCATCAGGGTGTTGATAAGAGAAACAGACAAGGCAGAGTTGAAGGTTGCAGTGGTTGGAAAGAAACAAAATTTAGGTTTGTGTCCCACTGAGTTCAGGTTATCAAAAAAAAAAAAAAAAAAGAGAGAAAAAAATAACAGTTACCTATCTCCAATCTTTCATAATAATAGCAAAATATTTTATAATTTTAAGTTGAAAACAAGATTTGCAGAAATAAATACATTTTGAAATTTATTAGTATAAAGTTGAACACAGTGTCTTATAATTTTAAAATAATCCACATCAGGAACTCTGCCTCCTGTTTGTGATGTAGAGAGCTGAAAAGAGAATAATTTCTACGCTTATAACCAAAACAACACTTGAAAACCTACAGATTCACGACTTTCTTTGAATCTACCAGAGACTTGAAGCTGTAGGAAAACCAACTGACTTGAATAATAAGGAAGGAGAGATAGGACATATGTACTGGCTTACCTGGGGCAGATGCTTCTGGATATTTGTAAGAATTCAGCTAAGATTTTAAACAAAATGTTAAAGGCAGGTACAGACTAGTGAGAGAAGATAGAACCTCTGGGGGCTACAAACATAAGGGAAATTAATACTCACTTGAAGCTCTTCTCCAAGGACCTCAGTGGGTGGCCTCAAACAATGGAATATTACTCAGCCATAAAAAGAAACGAAATTGAGCTATTTGTAATGAGGTGGATAGACCTAGAGTCTGTCACACAGAGTGAAGTAAGTCAGAAAGAGAAAGACAAATACCGTATGCTAACACATATATATGGAATTTAAGGGAAAAAAAGTCATGAAGAACCTAGGGGTAAGCCAGGAATAAAGACACAGACCTACTAGAGAATGGACTTGAGGATATGGTTAGTCAGAAACTCTAGATATTGACATACAGTCCAGCCAGAGGGAAAATATTTGCCACAGCAATCATTAGGAGAAGATTTGTGAAAGATTTAGAACCATCTTTGCCCATTGAAAAGCTCTCAGAAGTTTCATATTTGACAGAGTGTTCAACAGAGCAGTTTATGACCCATCTGTGTGGGACAGAGATCTGTAAACCAATTTCTGGGTTAAGAGTGATGACTTCAGTTTTCTTGCTCAGAAACCTTTCTGGATGTGGGATTTGATCATGAGTTCATCTGAGATTTGGACAGAGTCAGTGGATACCAGGCATGCCCTCTGTTCTGGGGCCAATAAGCTGAGTAAGTTGACCATGACCTTGGGGTCAAGTTGCAGTATAGGATTCATTTTGAGTACAGAGGCAGCAGATGGGGAGGGTCTGACCAGAGGGTCAACTTCACACTTGGTGTTTCTGAATCTTGGTTTCTTCATCTGTAAGACCATGCAACTTGTAACTGCCCAGTCCTGCCTCTGCTTAACTCACATGGTTGTTGGGAAACAATTAATAGCAAATGAGGGAGGACTCAAACAAATAAATAATGTAGATGAAGGTATTTGTACATGATTAAATGTTATGCAAATTAAATAATTAATTAACTTGTCTTTCTATTCAACAGTTTTTGATGAATAGTTACTCTGAAGATTTAGAGCTAGAATCTAATGAAGGGCCATGAATGCCAGGTGGCAAACTTTAGGATGTAATCTATCTGCAAGTAGTGGGAAACCAGGTTTTTGGTCAGCCAAGTGGCTTAATAAAAATATTCTTTTAAGAATATTCTTTTAAGAAGACAAGCCGGTAGCCATGTGAGAATTGTGACCCTATCAATTCTGTTTTCTGAATTGATCTTGAATTTGTTCCCCTCTCCTGTCCTATAGACACTGCCATAGTTCATTACTTAACATCTCTCATGTGGAATAGGTATTGCAATTATCCCCTAAATGGTCTTCTTGCCTCTAACCTTGTCTACTCTGATTCATTCTCCATGTGTACATGGAGAATTTTATCCGATTATTTATTGGTTTATTGATTGATGGGTGGATTCATTTATTATTTATTGAGCTCTATCATGCACAATGCCTTGGGAACATGGCAGCGATGTTTGCTGAAGAGTAGGTCTTGACATATTGCTGCTCTCTTCACCCATACAATAAAGTCAAAACCCCTAGCATGGCACACAACACCATTTCTAACCTGGACTCGGTGCCTCTTACCAGCCTCATGGCTTCTCTGCCTTATAATCTCCCTTGTATTCTGTACACACCTATGTTCTATGGAGGCTGTGGAAAGGACTCTAAGGTAAGGATTGAGTATGAATTCTGGTTTGGAGATGTAATAGTGCGATGACCTTGGATAAGTCACTTAGGTTCTCAGTTTACTTATTTGTAACTGGGAATTATATTGATAAAACATACCTTAAATGTCTACTGTAAAAATCAATGATATAGGAATGTAAATTGACTAGCACGGTGTCTTATATCAGTTGGTTTGGTTACAAGTAACAGAACACCTGACCGTAGAGGTTTAAACAAATAAATGTGTAGAGACTGAAAGTAGTTTTTGATGTTGATTTAATGGCTCAAAAATGACAGTGCTGAATTTCTGGACCCTCCTTTCATGCTGGTCACCTCATGTTCACAGGATGGTTGCTGTAGTCGCAGACTTTACATCTACATCCAAGGAAAGAAAGGGAAAGGGACAGCACCTGCCATATTACTCTTCTTTTTTTTTATCAGGAAAACAAAGCTTTCCTAAACTCCATAGAGCAGATTTTCCATTAGACCATTTTTTTTTCCAGAAGCATATCACATGGCCTTCTTCAGTTGCTAGGGTGGTTGGGAATTTGGAGAGAAAGAGTTTGCAGACTGGTTGAAACAAATCATGATTGGTCATTTGGTGATGGGCACATTGCCACTCTGAACAAATTTGGAATTCTGTTAATAAGGAAAAAGAGTGAATGGTATTGACTAACATTACACATTAGTATTTTCCAAACACATTAGTCATTAGTAGCATTACTCATTAGTGTTTTCAAATTTTTCCCCAAGAAATGCCACATGTTCACGTTGCTAAGTATTTGCACATAGTATGTTGTGTGCATACAACACCCTCCTCCTGCATTGTACTCACACAACTTTGTATTGTGCCTTTCCTCGATACATAAGCCATTTTCCATTTTCCCACATATTCTTTGTCATTTAAAAAATATATTTATTTATTTATTTGATTGCGCCGGGTCTTTGTTGCGACAGGCGGGCTCCTTAGTTGCGGCAGGCGGGCTCTCAGTTGGGGCATGAGAACTCTTAGTTGCGACATGCATGTGGGATCTAGTGCCCTGACCAGGGATCGAACCCGGGCCCCCTGCATTATTGGGAGCAAGGATTCTTAACCGCTGTGTCATCAGGGTAGTCCCCACTGTCATTTTTAAAGGATGCACAGAAAAGATCCATTACCTGGCTGCTTCATGATTTACTTAACCATTCCTCTATGGTTGGAAATGTATGTTATTTTCAATTTATTATTATAGGGAGAGGGGAATTTAGTTTTGCTAAGTTTAGTTCTAGTCCACATGTGTTACACAGATTATCTCATTCAAACCTTGAAACATTCCTATGTGGTAGGTATTATTTCCATTTAATAGATGTGGAAATCTAGGTGCTGAGAAATTAGTTTGCCCTAAGTCCTACAACTAGTGAGGAGTAGAATTAGGATTCACAGAGAAGATGATTTAACTGCAAAAGTTGTGCTTTTTGATTGGAATCCACACTGAGATGGACATTTTTGTGCATGTATCAGTCCTGTTCAGATCCTCTTAGCTTCCCCATCTCTATGGCTCTGGGGCATATAGTCCAGCCTGAACTGCCTCTGTGGTGACCACATCCGGATAGACTCTGTCCAACTTCAGTGCACATCCTACTGCACTTCATTGCATGCCCCAGGATCCCTTGTGGAATCTGAGGTGTGAGACACTGAGGGGCCTTGTTGGCATCCACACCTGTGCAGCCTGGAAGTATGAAGGAATTAATGCCTCATTGGGGAGACTTTGACCAATGGGAGATGGAAGCTGGGGTATAATTTCTTCACTTCCTCTTGACAGATGGACTGTGCTGATTCATGGTCATTGTACGGCCTTGTTCAAAGCAGTCTTTTTTTTTTTTTTTTTTTGCGGTACGCGGGCCTCTCACTGTTCTGGCCTCTCCTGTTGCAGAGCACAGGCTCCGGACACGCAGGCCCAGCGGCCATGGCTCACGAGCCCAGCCATTCCGTGGCATGTGGGATCTTACTGGACCGGGGCACGAACCCGTGTCCCCTGCATTGGCAGGCGGACTCTCAACCACTGCGCCACCAGGGAAGCCCCAAAACAGTCTTGTGAGATCAAATAATCAGTCTTGCTTAACACCAAGCAATGGGTAGCTCCTCGCCCCCCCATGTTGGTTCTTTCTCCTTTTCTGCTTCATTCTCCCTTTTTCCCCCACTCCTGCTTCCTTGATAATAAAGGAGTGGTACATAAATGTTTAAAATTTCACCCTGGCTGTCTGAGCAACCCAGGCTGAGACAGTGCATAGAGTTATTTCATTATTTAGGATGATTTCCTTTGTCTAAAAGGGTTCCCACAGTGGGTTTACTGAATTTAAAAGTATGAATATTCCTATGCCTTTGAGAACTTTATAACTAACTTCAAATCTACCCCCACCTACCACCCCGGCCCTTGGCTCACCCAGTAGATGACTATAGCTGGGGAGGAAGAAATTGTCCTCTACCCTTCTATGTTCTTCTGGCTGATCTAAGAATTAAATTAACATGAGACAGATTAACAAGAAAAAATCAAATGAAAGTTTAATAACATGTATACATGGGAAAGATCCAGGAAAGCTGAGCAGCTCGCTAAAATGGCCAAGTCCCCATTTTAAATACCATCTTCAGCAAAAGACAAAAGAGGATGTTGGGGGTAGTGGTTTGTGACTTCAAAGGGGAGGAAAGCAATTGACCAGGAGATTGAAAAGCAAGTGTTTGGTAAACAAATGTTTGCTGCACCAGCAGAGACAGTGGGACACAGAGAGGGATTTTAAGAAACAGACTTTGCTAGGTCCCTCCCTGTCTACCACACCTTGTTCACACTACGGTTACCTGTGGTGACAGCTCCCTTCTGGAACAGGTCCTCTTTTAGGCAGTGAGGGAGAAGGTCAAATTTTCTTCCTGAGTCTTTTTGGCCTTGATTGTTTTCAGCTCCAAATCATCCCATGCCAAAGAGGCATTTTGGTGTGGCAAATTTTGCTCCCCTACATCTCTATGTCTTTGTCAGACTGGCTTCATTCATTATTGAACTAAGGGTGGAGCTAAGATCCTGCTGGCAATGACTTACAAAGAAGGCTGTAAACAGGAACGTTTATGACCACATACAACCAAGACTGGTTCAGTGTTAATGTGTGGAAAAACATAATCTTTGCTGAAAGGGAATTTTAACCATTTGAGTTTATTTTCCCTAGGGAAAAATACCCTAGGCACACAGCTTTAAGAGTGTGCTGGCCCTTGGTAATTGCACTAATTACCTGTGAGCTAATTAGGGACCATTATGTATTCAGAAGTGAGATTTGCATCCTTCAAAATTTGCATTTCCAGCGAGAAGCTCATTCTCTATGCATCATAAGGTGAGTGTTCCCTGCTGATTTCCTTTCCTCATATATAAGCCGGGCTCACTCTGGGACTGCTATAATCAGAAGTCCATTAAGCAGAACCCGAAGAAGCCAGCAAGAGGAAGGAGCCTTCCGGAGCACACAGATGGGTCTGGGATCTATCTCGTTACAGAAACAACTATTTGGAGAGAGAATTCAGACAGCTTTTTCCAGAGGCTGCTTTTGAGTTTGTTCAGTCATAATCACAGGCTTTCCAGAAGAAACCAAATATCAGACAACTCCCTGAGTAAGAAATGGCCATTGCCAGGGCCCTTGTAAGATTCCAAGAGGAGCCTCTGTATTGCCTGGTGAGGCCTGCCACCCCGTGTGTAACAATAAACATGGTGGCGTGGGGAGTTCCCCAGGGTCTGTGAGTTGCTTGCTTCTTCTCTGCTGTGTCCACTGACTTTCACCATGTGTCTCTGAGTTCCTTTTGGTGTTCTCCATGGACTGAAGCCTTCTCATTTCATGCCAGGGTTGTAGTTTGTTTCCGCCTTCCTAGGAGAAGAGAGGGAGAGGAGAAGGAAAAATGGTCTCCTTCCACTGGCCAGCTCTGACCACACATAGTGGGTTGCAGGACTGTAAGCTTCTCAAGATGGACTCTGTCCGCAGGCAGACACCAATACTCATGATGTGAGCCATGGGCTGCTGCCATGGCCAGGGGAGTCTTGAGGTGTGAATCAGAACAAGATCGATATTTTAGCTCAGCAGAAGTTAGTAAACTCTGCACAGTGTAAAGAAAGTTAGATTTGGGTGCTAGGAGGCTTGGGGTCCTAGTTCTACTCTTTATTGGCTATGTGATCTTATCCTTTCCCTGGAGTTGTAGTTCCCAAATGGGTAGGTTAGGATTAGAGTTGGAATAGTAGCTATGTGTCATGCATACAATCACTGCTATGTTCTCTGCTCCTGGAAGATGTTGTCGATCAATTACAGATTGATTTTACCTCGAATCCAGGCTTGGCCTCACAATTCTTCTCCGCAGGGCACTCCTGGTAGCCGTGCGAATTGAGATTGGACTTGGCTTGAGATGCAACCTCTTTCCTCAGGGTCAAATGATCCCCAAAGTCCTTTCAACAAACTGCCTGGGAACCAATTGTTTTTAAGTAGGTTAACATGAGAATTGAAATCTGGTTTACTCTAATAATTTGCTTAGTAAAACTCCCCTCCCCCACTGCCCTAATAACCCTCTGTATTAGTTTTCCATTGCTGTGTAACAACTTACCACAAACTTAGCAGCTTAAAACAATGTTTCCTCTCCTTAAAAAACTCCCATTCATAATCTTATAGTTTCTTAGCTCAGAAGTCCTGGCAAGTTCAGCTGGGTTCTGGGCTTACAGTCTCACCAAGCTAAAATCACGGTGTCTGTGGCCTGGACTCTGATCTGGAGGTTCTAGAAGAAAGTCTGCTTCCAGGCCCCTTCAGGTTGTTGACAGTCCTGAATTCAGTCCCGTGTGTTTATAGAACTGAGTTCCCCGTTTGCTTGCAGGCTATTGGCTGGGAGCTGTTCTCAGCTTCTAGAGGCTGCCTGCATTCCCTGGCACATGACCCCTCTGTCTTCAAAGCCTGCAGTGGTGCATCAGATCTTCCTCATGCTTCAGATCTCTTTGACTTCTCTTCTGCTTTCCTTCTCTGCATCCAGCCAGAGAAAGTTGTCTACTTTTAATGGCTCCTGTAATCAGATTAGGCCCATCTGGTTAATGGCTCCTTTTAAAGGCCAATGGTATCATATGACATAACATAATCACAGGAGTGGTATCTCATTATATTCACAGGTTATGAAGGATTTGGGAGGTCATTTTAGAAATTCTGCCTACCATATCCCCATGCAGAAATATCACAGATTCTATGTGAACAAAGTTAGAATTAATGGGTTTAACATGATGAGGTTCCACTGAATTAAAGATTTTTCTCTGTTCATTCAACAAACAGTGAAATACCTACTAGTACCAGGCACCTGAAGACAGTAGTCTCTGCCTGCAAGAAGTGCACAGTCTCACCCCAAAACCAAAAGTCCAGGACCAGACAGCTTCACTGGTGAATTCTATCAAGCATTCAAAGAACATTAATACCTATCTTTATCAAACTGTTCCAAAAATTAGAAGAGGAGGGATTACTTCCAAACTCATTTTATGAGGCCAGCATTACCCTGATACCAAAACCAGAGAAAGACACCACAAGAAAAGGACATTATAGGCCAATATCCCTGATGAACATAGATGCAAAAATCCTCAACAAAATATTAGCAAACCGAATTTGACAACACATTAAAAGGATCATACACCACGTTCAAGAGGGATTTATTCCAGGGATGCAAAGATGGTTCAACATCTGCAAATCAATCAATGTGATATACCACATTAACAAAATGAAGGATAAAAATTATATGATCATCTCAGTAGACACAGAAACAGCATTTGACAAAATTCAACATCCATTTATGATAAAACTCTCAACAAAGTGGGTATAGAGGGAATGTACCTCAACATAATAAAGGCCAATATATGGCAAGTCCACAGCGAACTTCATTCTCAATGGTGAAAAGTTGGGAGCTGTTCCTCTAAGGTCAGAAAAAAGACAACGATGCCCACTCTCACCATTTTTGTTAAACACAGTATTGGGAGTCCTAGGTAGAGCAATTAAGCAAGAAAAAGAAATAAAAGGCATCCAAATTGGAAAGGAAGATATAAAACTGTCATTATTTGCATATGACATGATATTATATATAGAAAACCCTAAAGACACCACCAAAAACCTGTTAGAACTAATCAATGAATTCAGTAAAGTTGCAGGCTACAAAATTAATATACAGAAATCTGTTTCTATACACTAATAATGAACCATCAGAAAGAAAAATTAGGAAAACAATCCCACTTATAATTGCAACAAAAAGAATAAAATACCTAGAAATAAATTTGGTTTTGTGTTTTTTTTTTGAGGTACGCGGGCCTCTCACTGTTGTGGCCTCTCCCATTGCACAGCACAGGCTCTGGACGCGCAGGCCCAGCGGCCATGGCTCACGGGCCCAGCCACTCCGCGGTATGTGGGATCTTCCTGGACCAGGGCACGAACCCGTGTCCCCTGCATCGGCAGACGGACTCTCAACCACTGCGCCACCAGGGAAGCCCATAGAAATAAATTTAACCAAGGAAGTGAGAGACCTGTACACTGAAAAGTATAAGACACTGATGAAAGAAATTGAAGAAGACACAAATAAATGGAAAGATATTCTGTGCTCCTGGATTGGAAGAATTAGTATTGTTAAAATGTCCATACTACCCAAAGCAAGCTGCAGATTCAAGGCAGTCCCTATCAAAATTCCAATGGTGTTTTTCACAGAAATAGAACAAACAATCCTAAAATTTGTATGGAATCACAAAAGACCCTGAATAGCCAAAGCAATCTTGAGAATGAACAAAGCTGAAGCCATCACACTCCCTGATTTCCAACTATATTACAAAGCTATAGTAATCAAAACAGTATGGTATTGGCATAAAAACAGACACATAGATCAGTGGAACAGAATAGCCCAGAATTAACCCACACACAGCTAATTAATTTATGACAAAGGAGCCAAAGAATATACAATGGGGAAAGGACAGTCTCTTCAATAAATGGTATTGGGAAAACTGAACAGCCACATGCAGAAAATGAAACTGGACCACTATCTTGTACCATATACAAAAGTGAAATCAAAATGGATTAAACACTTGAATGTAAGACCTGAAACCATAAAATCCTGAGAGAAAACATAAGCAGTAAGCTCCTTGACATCAGTTTTGGCAATGATTTTTTGGGATTTGACTCAAAATACAAAGGCAACAAAAGCAAAAATAAACAGTGGGGCTGCATCAAATTAAAAAGTTTCTGCTCAGCAAAGGAAGCCATCAACAAAATGAAAAGGCAACCTGCTGAATGGGAGAAAATATTTGCAAATGATATGACTGATAAAGGGTTAATATCCAAAATATATAAACAGCTCATACAACTCAGTAGCAAAAAACCAAGCAATCTAATTAAAAATGGGCAGAGGATCTGAATAGACATCTTTCCAAAGATGACAAACAGATGGCCAACAGGTACATGAAAATATGCTCAAAATCACTAATCATCAGGGAAATACAAATCAAAACCACAATGAGATATCACTTCACACCTGTTAGAATGGCTTGTCTCAAAAAGACAGGAAATAACAAGTGTTGGCAAAGACATGAAGAAAAGGGTACATTGTGCATGGCTTGTGGACATGTAAATTGGTGCGGCCACTCTGGAAAACAGTATGGAGGTTCCTCAAAAAATTAAAAATAGAACTACCATATGATCCAGTAATTCCACTTCTGGGTATTTATTCAATGAAAATGAAAACACTAACTCAAAAAGATATATGCATCCCCATGTTCGCTGTAACATTATTTACGATAGCCAATATATAGAGACAACCTAAATGTCCATCAATGGATCAGTGGATAAAGAAAATGTGGCATGTATTAAAAAATGGAATATCATTCAGCCATAAAAAAGTGAAATCTTGTCATATGTGACAAATAGATGGACAAACAGAGCATTATGCTAAGTGAAATAAGTCAGAAAAAGGCAAATACCATGGAATCTCACTTATATGTGGAATCTAACAACAAACAAACAAACAAAAACAAGATAACCAACAAACACAAAAACCGAGCTCACAGATACGGAGAGCAGATTGGTGGCTGCCAATCTGTTGGAGGAGTTGGGTGAAGGGGGTCAAAAGGAACAAAATTCCAGTTTTAAAATAAGCAAGTCATGGGGATGTAATGTACAACATGGCAACTATGATTAATAACACTGTATTGCATATTTGAAAGTTGCTAAGAGAGTAGATCTTAAAAGTTCTCATCACAAGAAAAAAATTCTGTAGGTATGTATGCTGATGGATGTTATCTAGACTTATTGTAGTGATCATTTTGCAATACGTACAAATATTGAATCATTATGTTGTACATCTGAAACTAATATAATGTTATATGTCACTGCACAGTCTAGTGGGGGCCAGTAATCACACAATGTTATAGGGTTATTTCAAATAGAGGTGGGTACAAATATATTGATGTCAATGAATTAGAAGTAGCCTATTCTGCTTGGAAAAGTGGTGGGGGAGGTGATTATTGGGGAGTTTGCCAAGAATTTGAAATTTTGGTTGAATATCAAAGGATATAGTTCTGCCTCTCAGAATAGTATTTGGCAAGTTCCTTTTCCTTCCAGAATCCCAATTTCTTCATCAGTTTTATTAGAAGTTTAATTAAGATGATCTCTACAGCCTGTTTCACTTCTCTTGTCATCTGAATTCCAGGTAAATGTGTGTGAATGTGCAGGAGATGGGTGGGGATAAAGAGGATAAGAGAACCCCTGGAGGAGTGTCTTGCCTGCCTGTCTCAACTTTCAGTGTCATCTGGGTTCCTTTGTCTGGCTCAGCAGGGAGGTCAGAGATGAGGTCTAGCCATCAGTTAGGATGCAGCAGAAGATGGAATTCAAGCTGTCGTAAACAACGAGGGCTATATGACTAGAAATTCAAGGGCGGGGTGATCTTGAGGTTGACGTAATCCAGTGGCACACTTTCTATTTTCCTGTAATCCTCTTGACTGCTTTAATCAGGCTAGCAACAGAGCTCTAGACCTCACATGTGGATGCAGCCACATCCAAAGAAAGAAATGCCCAGCAACCTTTTCTAGAGTCTCACTGGCCCCACTTAGGTCGATCGTAAGGACATAGGAAAACCTTGTGCTGATTAAAGTCCTCCAGGGGTCTTGACCCATTCATTGGTAAGAGGATGGGAATACCAGGACTGACAGACCAGTCAGGATGCACCCTCAAACTGCTACACATCGGGGGTTGGGTGGAATCCACTCACTGCCTCTGAGTCCTGGCTCCTCCCTCACCTCAGGACATTGAGGACATTGCTCGGGGACCAGCAGTCAATCCAGCTTTGCTAAGGCACTGATGATGGAGCAGTTGATATCATGTGGCTCCTTCAGGTATCAGAATAGTGCATGCAGAAGAGCCTTGAGGAGATGCACAGCTTGCCCCAAGGCAGTGATTAATAGTACAACTTGGGGCACTGTGGCAGTAGGTCAGTGCCTAACAAAACTGCTCGGCAGTTAATACATGGGGTAAAGCTTAGAGGCCATTTGAGCAATCCTTCGTAAATAGGTCGTGTTCTTAGAATAAAACATAGATAAATGATACTCAGATAAAGATGTCTTTTCTCTTTAAATCAAACCTTCTTTTTACTCAGGCAAAATTAAAAAAAAAAAATCTGAGTGCAGAGGCTCTGCTTCTCCCTGCTCTGGTTCTGCACCATTGGTTCAGTCTCATTTCAGAGATGCAGGAATTTATAATTGCTTTTCCAATTGTCACCAAGTCACCTTAATGGCTTCTTACAAATTATTTGTTGTACGAACA